CTTATTGCATTCCGATGGCCCTCCCGGCCTCCTACTATGTTCTATGTGTCCTTGTTTTTGCGCTCGCTTGCTTGCGGTCGGTAGTTCTTTCCTCCTGTGGTTCTCTCCTCATGGCATCACTCCCTTCTGCGGCGTAATCCTTTTGTCTTTTCTCTCTCCTGCTTCCTCACTCCAGATTTCTCTGTTGCGCACAAATTGTCTGTATTCAATCTCTCGAGTGATGGGAAGTTATTCGGGACCCACTAGTCCCGACACATTCCCCCCACTCATTCGCGATGTCCTCATCGCGCACCAACTTCTTGTTAGTGGATTTTGGAAGGATAGACGGGAGAGGAGGATGAGATGTTATGGGTGGTTAGTTTGTCAGGGTCCGTTTTGTTATTTTCCCATTCCTTTCTCAAGGTTTTCCTTAGCTTCCGTCCCTTGGGGTGGAGGAGGGCATGGGGGAGTCAAAGGTTCTACAGCTTAGACAAGGTGGCTCATTTCCGCCACAGCTCTGCCTCTTTATCTTTTCCTCAATTGAGATGCAAACCTCGTCTTCAGTCTACTCTGTATACCCAGCAGGGCAACCCATAATTCTTTCAGCTTCAGTAACATGAAGCAGACGGGGCTCTCCTCGCTTCATGTACTTAACTACTGGTATGCTGGCTTTATTCCCAGGATGACAATTTGTTGTCATAACACAATTGGTTTTCTCATTTTATGCCTTGGCTTTGTTGATAACAAATTGTAGGCAAGTTTTTGGATGCGACTGAATGTCAGACATTTGCTTCGAAAGAGAGATGTTCGTCCAGTACAACTGTCGCCTTTGCTGTGGTGATACCCACTTCGAATCAGTGAGCCCAGACACAACTCCCCTTAAGTGCTTCGTAATCTCAAATCTATCTTCCCATTTCATTGAGAAAACATTCTCGAGCAGAAACCATTTTGGTTTCGCCTTACTCATTACTCTTAGGGTCATAAAAAAATAATCCGCTTTTCGATCCGTGCAATCCATGTTCTCCCGTCATTCTTTCCTCAGTCTCATGCTTAGCCAGTTCTCATGTATCTTTCCCATGTCATTTTGCCCAGCTTATGTGCGTCATCCTCATTCGTCCTTTCTCGTATCCAAGCTTAAAAATGCGCGTTACTCCGTCCCTCTTATTCACATCTTTCTTCTGGCCTCTTGCCAGACCTCTCTCATACTCATGTAAAGTCCATTATACCTGTATCTCTTTTCTGGGCGTCTTGCCAGACTTTTCCTTAGGTCTACGCAAAGCCAATTTCTCATATCTTTTTTTTCTGAACATCCTGCCAGACCTTCTCTCAAGCCCAAGCTAGGTCAAATACTCATTCATTTCTCTCCTGGACATCTTGTCAGGTCTCATCTCAAGCTCATGCAGAGTCATTCACACATCTTTTCCTCAGCTAGACACCTCGCCAGACCTTTTCTCAAGCTCATGCAACGTCAATTGTCAGGTCTTTTCTCAGGCCTGCGCAAAGTCAATTACTCAAACCCATCTTTTTCTTTTGGACATCTTGTCAGACCTTTTCTCAAGCCTGCGCAAAGTCAATTACTCATTCATTCTTTTCTTTTGGACATCTTGCCAGACCTTTTCTCAAGCCTGCACAAAGTCAATTACTCATCCATCCTTACGCTCATGGTATCCTTCTCTTTTGCACGTTTTTCCTGGCACACCTTCCCCCCACTCAAAATGCGATCTCCCCATCGCACGACTAGTTCTCACTCGGAGGTACGCAGACCTTGGTCCACCAACTGAGTAGACGGATGTCGGTCCATCAGCCCCAAAAAGGAAGGGTGATCAGTCCTCCCCTTGCTGATAACTCATCTCATCCCCTACTCCAGTCGGACCTTTTGCTGCTTACGAGACAAGCGTCATCACTGAGGTACCACCCCACATTTGGAAGGTAGGTCTAGTCCAAGCCTCCCAGGACCCCATCTTGCCGTAAGTGCTTTCTCGCGAATCGTTCCTCCCGAGCGGTGTTTTCTTGGATCCGGCCTCTTCCTTTCAAGAGAGTTGGGGCTCTCTATTAGTCTGTGAGTGCAGTTACGAAGACCTTGCGGTTAGTCCCGGAACGGTTGTAATGATCCGGCAAGGCGGTGTCACTCGCCCTGTGGTGGTTGCGGCTTCCACCCGGTACCACGCCCGATTCCTCCCTGGACAGTGCTGCTCAACTTAATGCGAGCGACCGTGGTCCATTCCAAACGATCGTGCCGCTCCTCTACGGCATGGCGTGTGGTTGGGGAGAAAAAATGAGACTTAGGAAAAAGAATGGCTCTCTCGCCCGTTTGGCACCACGCCCTTGACATTTAGGTTTCATCATGAGGCGCAGTTTGAACCCCTCGACTAGAGCTCGTTGTCGGGGTTAGTTCCGGACGGCCAGCATCAATCAAAGAGAGAGGTGCTTTGGTCATTCAACCCTTATTCCTTCTTATGAGGAGCAGGTCGCGCTAAGACTTTGCCCTTAACGGGTAGAGGTCTTGGGGTCGCGATACAGGCATTGCTATCCCCCTTATGTTGAGACCTGAGACTAGAAAAAAAAGAAAGCTCAATCTCTTGCTGTTTCCATGGTCGGCCCGATGACCTTACATCAAGTTGCCTAGGGTCCCCTGGCTATGAAATGCAATATTCCATCTTCAAACACTCAATCCCATGCTATTTCCAAGGCTGATTCTCATGGTTGGTCCGACAGCCTCTCATCAACAAGGCCACCCACATGGCCAGTCAGGTGGTCATTTTCTCAATAGTCATTTCTCAAGACTGACCCATTCGCCCATTCAATGCTCAATTCTCTCATTCCTCAACACCCAATCTCTGTGACCGTCCCTACGGTCCCTGCCCTTCTCGGTTTTAAGGCTCCGCCTTCTTTCTCCTCTCCTTCTTATTCACATCTTTTTTCCGCCCCCTTGGCTATTTCAGCGGCCGACCCACCGGCCTTTTCCATCTCTTCCATTCATCCCATTGGCTATTTCAATGACCGACCCACCGGCCTTTTCCATCTCTTCCATTCATCCCTTTGGCTATTTGAATGACCGACCTACTAACCTTTTCCATCTCTTATTGCTCATTCTAGCACATTCTCAATCAACCTTTCTCAATCAAATATGCAGGGGACCCCAGTGCCTATTTCAAAAGGAAAGACCCTTGTCAGGGGTCACTCCCGAACAACCTGGTTAGGGTCATTTTTTTCCATTCTCAAGTCGAACAGCCTGGTTAGGGCCATTCCTTTCCATTCTCAAGTCGAACAGCCTGGTTAGGGTCGTTCCTTTCCATTCTCAAGTCGAACAGCCTGGTTAGGGCCATTCCTTTCCATTCTCAAGTCGAACAGCCTGGTTAGGGTCATTCCTTTCCATTCTCAAGTCGAACAGTCTAGTTAGGGCCATTCTTTCTATTCTCAATGTTAGTGCCTGAGGGGGTGGGCCTCGAGGTTATGGATCCCATTTCTGTTTTGGAGGTTAGAAGGTGACCATCTCATCTTTTGCGTGTTGTTCTCTTTCTTTCTTCTCTCACAGCAATGTACTATCCATTCCATTTCTCACAGTAATGTATCATCCATGCGTACATCCGACTTAGCGTCTAACACTCGAGTTGGGGCTTGCGACCCCAAGCAGCACTAGCCCACCCGGTCGTTCATCCATAACAAAAGACAAAGGCGCCCCTTCCATTTTCACTCTTCCCGATCACTCAGGTTTCGACTATTCTCAGTCTCATTCATGACTCAGTTGGATTAGGCTCCTAGGAAAGGAGTGTTGTTCACGCCTCTTAACCCATAGGTTCCCTAACCTCTCTTGTACTCGACCAATCATTCAATGTCATGGTTCGCTCGTTAATCCGTACTCAAGGTTTTCCCCTCTCAAAAGCATAATCCTTATTCCATCCAGAATTCACAATACACCCTTTCCCAATTGATCTTATCCCAAATCCCATGTCTTTGTCTTATGTACCCAAGGTAACTCATCCAAAAAGTAGCCTAAAAATACTATCTTCTATCTTAGCGTGACACAACCTTAGCTGACCCTCTTTTCACTTCATCCTTAGCAAGCTTGCCCATACTGTACACGTTCTCGTCCTTCCCATGTCTCCGCAGACAGGAAAGCAGCGATTATTTTAAATGCTAAATCAACACCTAGTTCATATTGTTGCCTTGCACCTCGTCTTGCCCAGTTCCTTGCCCACCCCGTTCCTCGGCAGGTTTTCTAACCCCTAGGCCGTAGGTCTCGATTTCTCTTTTCATCCTTACAATTTTTTGTAACTCTGCGCCGTTGAAAAAATCCAGTGGTGTGGCTTCCACCGCTGCCCTTGCAAGTTCCCGAGTCTTGATAATCCATTCGTGTCTTATCACATTGGTCCATTGTTGAAACCAATGACTGGGCGTTGGCCCAAACTCGTCCTCCCATCTGAAAGCCCCGTCGCCCGGCTGGTGCATCGGAGGCCGCCCCTCTTCCCTAGGCCTTGAGATTTCATCCCTCTCTTCCCCGCTGCTGATTTCTATGACTTCTCGCACATCCTCCTCCTCGTCCTCCTCGTCCTCCTCGTCTTCTGTCTGTATGGGGCTATACCCACCTGCAAGGCTCTTTGGATTGTAGGTAAAAAGAATCTTTGTCCCCGTCCCATATCCTTCGCAACTGTCGTGACCGCTTCGTCCTTTAAGCGGGCTCTCCCTTCTTTCCTCACCCTCCTCATATTCGTCGCGCATGTCTTGTCCCCCCTCGCTTTCCCCATGCCAAGTCTCACGTCGCTTGCCCCTGTTGACTCCTTCCTCGTCAGAGACCTGGGCCTTATTTCCCATCTTTGCATTGCCTCCCTCTTCCACTTCTGCCTTTTCCTTCCGTCCCTCACTGTCAGACGAGATTTCTATACCTTCTCACTCGCGGAGGGGTGAGGGTTTCCTACACAAGCATTTCCTTCCTCCCCTGCCTACCACTGGGTCATCCATAAGTCCTATATACAACTTTCTCTTTGCCGCTCTCCTCCCTTGGCTTGGTCATGCTTCCTCCCCTCCGGTAGGCCTGTTGATTGCCCCGCTGTTATTTTCGTCACCGAACTCCATCTTATCTTTTCTTTTAGACCTTGTATAACAAAACAACACCCGCATGCCCCTCATGCACCCATTCCCCCAGTCTGGTAGGTAGTCCCCCCCCTTTTTCCCAAAATGCTCCCAAAGCTCTGCCGGGATACATCCTGTTGTCCTTCTAGGGGTCATATTCTCTGCAAAGACAGCCTGCTTAAGATACCTACGTCACTTCCCCAGATGGTCAGCTGCGAGCTTTGCAATCGTGTTCTTCAAGGTTCGGTGCCCCCTTTCCACAGGTGCATTGACCTCAGGGTGATACGGCTCGATGAGTTTGATCGGTACGCAGAGTCTCTTAAGCATCCCCAATACTTCTTGGTTCACAAACTCCATTTCATTGTCTGCTATAAACCTCCCGACGAATGGATGCCTCAAGTAAAAGTCTTCTATCCAGCCCGACACACTCCTCCGTGTCTTTTTCTTAAGGGCGACTGCCTCCACGAACCCACTCAGGTTGTCTCGTGCATCCAGGATATACCTGTACCCATCCGTTGATACAGGCATGACCGCAAGGTCGAGGTGGACCAGGTGCCCCGGCGCTAGGAACCGCGTTTGTCTAAGCGGCTCGAAGACCCGTACCAAACTTCGTTTTTGGCAAATAAGGCAACTCTAGCAGTATATGGCGACCATGCCTGCCATGCCTCGCCAATAATAGAGTGGCATCATATTTGCAAGCGTTCCTTTGGACGACCGATGACCTCCAGCCAACCCATCGTGCATTGCCTAGATAACGTCTACTTGCCTCGATCTTCCGCACACAACCCTTCTGGGCATAGCACCTTCCTCCCTTCGGAATAAATGCCCGCCCCTTAGGACGTACATTTTGGCTTCTTCTCTTGCTTTAATACTAACTTCCGTAGGTTGTTTGTTTCCTACCAATAACAGCCCGATCTCCTGAAAGATCCCTTCGTATGATTGGACATAGAAAAACTCCTCTCCTTCCTTGCCCCCATCCTTTCCTTCCTTCATCTGGTTTACCACCCATTGCCACTCCTTCCTTTCCCAAGATTCCACTAAGCTCATTACTGCTTCCCAGCCTCCCTCGACCGCTGTTGCTATCTGTTCCTCTTTTGGCCCTACTATCGCTCCCCATGAGTCCTTTGCCTCGCTGCGTCCTCGAGTAGCGACTGGTCCTTCTCTAAGTTCTGCTACTACGGCAGGTGCCCCCTTCTCCAAAGTCTGGATCAATAGTTCTCCTGACGTGCATCCTTCGCTCATCCTTTCGTTATCCACCGCAAGAGTTCCTCCTTCGTATTCGAGGAATGCGTCTATGGGCTCCGCATCCTCCACCCCTTCGGGAGTGATGCAGACCCGGCTCAGCCCATCAGCCTTGTTCCTAATTCCCGCAATCCGTTCGATCTTATAATCGAACTGCCAGATAAATCCTACCCATGTCCCCACTGTCGGATCTATAGGTCTGTAATTCTTTAAGGTCCCTGCAACATTCGTCGGATCAATCCTTAGGATGAACCGCCTCCCAAATAGGTAGGCATGAAAAATCTTAAGACAGTGTAAGATGGCTATGACCTCCTTCTTGAACTGTGAGTACCGCCGTTCTGCGAAGTTTAGGGTTCTACTTTCGAACCTAATCGGCCTCTTTTTTCCTCCCTCATCCCTTTGAATCAACACACCTCCTATGGCCAAAGGTCCTCCATCCGTCTCTAGGATGAAGGGTTGTCCTACTTCGTCATTAAAACAAGGCACGGACAGGGCGACTGTCTCAGATATCAATATGTCCTTAAGCTTTTGGACAACTCCTTCTCGTTCCTCCGTCCAGTCCATGGTTCCTTCTTCCCTGATCATAGCCCGGATAGGCTCAACAATCTTGGCAAAGTTCTTAATGAAGATCCTCAAAAAACCGACTACGCCTAGGAATGCCCTTACCTCCGTCGTCTGGACCACCGGTGTCGGCCACTGTGATATCTTGTCGGTCGTTGCCGGATCCGGCTTCCTGCCCTAAGCACCGCAACGAAATCCTAGTATAGTTACCTCCGGTACTGTTAGGATACTCTTCGGTCCACTAGCCGTAATGTTGTATACTAGGAACCGGCGGAGTAAGTCCTTGATGTCCTGCAGGTGGTCCCACACAAAACGTCAGACCTTTGCTGGACTTCCGTCTCGTCCTTCTCCTGCGCGCCTTTGATCGGATTGTCATCGATGTAAGGCTCACATTTTTCTAGGAACATCTCCCCGGCTACGGCGAGCATCCTGCGTTGTGCTTCGACCACCACGTTTGTGAATCCCATAGGGGTTACTTGCATCTGTAGTTGGTCTACGGGGGTGTGCATAGCGGTGTATGGCCTGTCCCGAACATCCAACGGAAGCTGGTCGTACCCCGAGTACATCTCTATCAGGGAGTAAATGCTCCGACCAGCGTGCAATTCTGCTAATAAGTCAGCCTTAGGTAGCGAGCCAGCATCCCGGATGGTTACCGCATTCAACTTCTGCAGGTCCTAAATCCACCTTAGTGTCTTGTTAGGCTTTTGAAAGACGAACGACCGATTTGCGTATGGCGATGTCGTAGGCTCCGCAACGAAGGAGTCCATCTTTGCCCCGAGGAGGTCTGTTACTTCTCCTGCTATCCCAAATTCATACGATGGCCCCTTGTCATTCCAACACTCATGTTCTACCGTGTGGATTCTGACCGGAGGGATCAACTTTGCATCCAGTCGTCCCTTCTGGTGATTACTAAAGGCAAATGTCAGGTGAAACTCCGGGCAGGTCTTTTTTATCAGGCGAGTTTCTTCTTCCGTTAAGAACCCGTCTATCCCTATCTTCATTATGTCAGCTACCTCATCTGGTATCCGATGTCCCTCCGTCGCCCTTCTTTCTCGGATCACTCGAAGGACCTCTTCCTCCTTCTCCATAGCCTCTTCCTTTAATGTCTCTAGCAGGACCGAGACCGGTTTTGCTTTCTTCCCTACCGGCTTGTACTTTCGAACACTTCCTTCCGGGATCTTTCTCCTAAAAAATGAACAGTCGGAATTGCCCCCGCCGCCTCTACGACTCGTGGTTGAATACTAACTAGTTTCCCATTTAGGCAATATCCCTTTTGCACCTCTCTTTCGAACTTGGCCAAGGCTGCCGAATCCACTCCTACCTTGTGGTATCTGAGGGCCTTGATGAGTTGCAATAGATCGGGGATCTTGAGTGCGATTTTTGGCACGTCTATGCGTACTTCTTTCTGTTTGGGCAGGCTAGCACCAAGTTCGACCTCTGACTCCTTTTCCGCTACCATAACACCTAGGAATTCGTCCTCCTGCCCCCTCTTCTTCTGGGGCAGGCCCATCTTGATCCACTCCTTGTTGAATACTTCCTCAATCATGATTTCTACACTTTCTCTTATACCCTCCATCCATGCGAAAGCCCCTTTCCGCGTGCTGTCCTCGAACGATGGCGACCATGTTGCCAATTTCCCCTTCGGGGGGTCTCCTCCCATTCCAAGGAGTCGGAGGAGCTCTCCCCGGCCGGTCACAGGGTCCTCTATGTCTACCATGTATGAGCCATCGTGCAAGTGCATGCCTATCATCTCTACGTTCGCGCACCACGGTCTCCCAAGGATTATGTTGTGGTCCATTTCCTCCATTACGGTCATCCGCTGAAACAACCAGATCGATTCCCTGACCCCTGCCTTCACAGCACACTTCGTGACGTACCCCGCGAACGGAATTTCCCCGCCAGCCCCCCAGATGCTCCCTGTTACTTCCTTGTTTACCGTACATCCCGTGATCGTTGCAAAATCTCTTCTTGTGAGAGTGATTTCTGCTCCCCCGTCTACTAATGTGTCGGTATGATGACTCCTGATCTGTATTTTCAGTTTCCCTACGAGCAGTGCATGAAAGCTAAGCTTTGTCTCGGGTGATGATCTCATGACTTCGCCGCCGTCCCGGTCGGGCAAGCTCAAACGAATGTCTGCAAAGGCTTTTTCGAGATCCTCCAAGTCTTCGTGACTCCTCTGAAGGTTAGCCACTTTTTGCGGAGCTTCCTCCTCCCTCTCCCCTTCTGGTAATTCGGGGTTGTCACCTATTTCTACTCGCCTCCGAGTCAACAGCTGTCTGAGCCCTTTGAGCAACCTAGGGCTAGCCTGCAACATGGTCTGAAAAGACACCGACACCATGTTTCCTAGTAACTTGCCAATGGTGTCGTCGAGCTCAGGCAAGGTTAAGATCGGGATTTGATACCTAAACTTCTTCTTAGCGGCGGTAACCTTGTCCGCAGGCTCCTCTTCCCTAGGCTTCCCATAGACTTTCTCTGGTTCCTCGGCCTCAGGCTCTGCCTGGGGTTCGGAGCTTCCGGCGACCTCCTCCATAATGGTGTCACGGTTAATCCTTCTCCCGACCGTTCCCAGTCGAGTGGTTGCGTTCACCCTATCACGTCCGTTGCTTTCCAAAATAAAGTTGGCTTGCAGCCTGCGCCCCAAGAGTTGATCCCAGATGATCTCACCCACCGGTTTCGGCTTCTACGACTGTTATTTCTAACCCGTTGAGCTTGATAATGGCGCGCCGCATCCCTCCTGGTGAGTTCCAGTTCACCCGTTCCCCTTGTGGTCAAAATATCTCCCCCTTTAATGACCTGGTACACCTCCTTTTCATAATATCATGGTTAAGCTTTGGGCACGCGCGCACATAATGTCCTATCGCGGTACAGTAGTTGCATTGCTCGTTAGCAGGATCTCTCTGTCCGAATCCCCGGTTGGCTACACCTGGCGGAACCACAGCTTCCTGGGGAGGGAGGGCGGGTCGGGATACTTGCGCCTGCATAACCAGTAGCGCGTCTTCCATCCTTTCAATTTTATTGTCGACCCCGTGCACCCGTTCATGTAGACTTTCAATCCCCTTCTTTACCTTGTCGCCCGTCCTATCGATCAGATCTATGATCTCTCCTCCTTTGAGCAAGGCCAACGTTTCTGTTACTACCGTTTTCTCAGCCAGATCCGTTACGGTGCTAAAATCAACATCCCGCGTGTTTACGAACTTGCTCGTCTGTTGGTAAGCTGACATGATCTTGTCTTTGTCGAACTCGGAGAACTGCCTGAGGAAATATTTGCTCATTATCCGGTCCGTGACCCCGGGGATCCTTAGTGCTACTAGAGTAAATTCCCGGAGGAAATCATTGTACGTTGCGAAATTCTTCCTCTGAACTGCCGCTAGGTCGGCCTCCGTTGCCATTTTCTCTGCCGCTAGGTACTTCCTCATCATCACATCCCGGGTCTCCTTCCAAGACCGGCTTGCGGCTACAATGGCCATTATGTCTCGTCCTAGGCTTAACGACACATGCTGTCCTAGATGGTCCATCTTTTCCTCTTCGGTCTACTTCAGTAACGCAGCTAGGTTCTCGTAGTCGATCAGGAACTCCGTGATGTGTGCTCCATCGAAAGTCAACTTTTTCTTGGCGTCTGCCAGATAGCCTTGGTTCTTGTTCAGTGCTCGTGTGAGGGATGATACTATCTTCCTAAGGCCACCTTCAGAGCTACTGGTCTCGCCTGCCATGCTGGTATCTGGCCCTTCCTTGCTGGCTTTCTGCCCCCCTCTAGTCTTTACCGTTCCTTCCGGGTCGAACCAACCCAACACCCTTTCTCTGAGGCTCCAGAGCCCTTCGCATCCTCGCAATGCCGCTGGCGAGGTCGGCAGACGGCTAGCCCTACTGTCCATGGCTAAGGGGTTCGTCGCCTTCTCTGCCTCCATTCCCGGCGAGTTCTCCCTCTCTTTCTTTCTTTTGCTCGGCGTTCCCCCACGGTCACTACCCTTGTCCCCTTGCCCAGTTCCGCCCCGGCTGGTTTTCCGTTCATCCCGCGGTACCTTTTGCAGAGAGTCTTCCTCGTTCCCAACCATCATTGCCTCAATTAACCTTGCCTTGTCTTCCGCGGTCCTTTTATCTATTTCTGCTAGTTTGCGCCTCGCGTCCGTAACCCTTACTTTCTTAGACACAGCTCCCTCCGAGTACCCGGGGCTCCCCCTATCCTTATTCCTGCCTTTCTTGTTTTCCTGGGTCCCTGTCTGCTTCCCCCGCCTTTTCCCGAGCTCTCTTCGGAGGACATTTCCTTTCGGTTCCCTTTGGTGCCATCCGGATTTGCTGATTCCCTGTCCTTCTGCCCTTCCTTGCTTTGCTCAGCACTGCCTCCTAAGCCTGGTCCTCCCTCGTTTTCATGATTACCCGTCTCATCCTCCGTTGCCATACTTGCCTACTTCTGCATAACCAAAGGATTCCCTAGAACAAACGCAGTGCGAGGCATTTAGGTTCCCTAGGTTCCAATCCTGTTGGTTTGTCCTTTTACTTGGTAATTAGTTTTTTTTTCCCATTCCCATTTTCTGATGGCTTCCTTAATATGGAGCCGCGCCGGGCTCTGCCGCCTCACCGAGCTAAGGGTGTGACTTAGCTTCCCTTATCACCGGCTTGTTTAGAGTGTCCTTATTTCGTTGGTCGGTGCGTAGGGGTCCCGGTTGGGCAACCTGCTGGAAAAAAAGTTTTCCTGCGCAGTGTTTCCCGTCTGCCGATTATTGCTCATCCGGATCCGAGGCCCCCCCCTTTCCTACTTCTGTCGATGGCCTTCGAGCGTGGCAGACTGTGCTTGATTTGCCCTACTGGCTTGCCTGTGGGTGCTAGTCCCGTTCTTGCCCTCGTGGCCCTTTCGGTTCGGTAGGCTCCTCGAATAGTTGAGCCACCCCCGTTAAATAATTCTCTCCTATCTCGATTTCCCTTTGGATTATGCGTTCGCACCCCGTCCAGTCTAGCCGGGGCGCACAAAACATCAGGATGTAGATGACTTCTAGTAATTCGTGGGCCCTGTTTCCCCAGAACGGCCCGTGCTCCGCAGCGACATCGTAGAACATCCCAATGGTAAGGGGGGGAAAGTGGCCTGCCCAGACTATCGCTGAGTCTGCCAGCTCCCGCGCCCTTGCAAGGGTTCCGAAGACGAGGTCTATCATAAAACGGGGCACTCGGCATCTCAGCGGTGTGGTCGGTGCCCTGAACTCCCTCCAACCTCTCATTTCCACCCGGGTAAGTAAGCCCACGTTCCTTCTTCCCCTGACCGATTGTCCTATCCGGGTCAACGTCCGGGCGGCCCTTCGAAAAACCGGTGCTAGCTCGTGACCTTGTGTTGTCTCTACCCCCAATGAGTGCCAGCCAATCTCAAGCAGATAGATGGTCCCGGTAACTTCCAGATTAGAAAACAGATCGTCTCCGGGTCATCGGTGGAATCTCATCCCTGTCCACCGACATTCTACCAACATGAAGGCGGCGTCCCTTCCCAGAGTCACGGCCCGCCATTCTATATCGAACCCCCGATAGGTAGAACTCGACGGGAGGGATACTTCCCATCGTCCACCGTTGTTCCAGGGCGGTCCAGGGTACCCGGGCTGACGTTCCATTCGCACACGGGGCTGGCGTTGCACTCGCTCACGTCTTGTTGTCATCGTTACCTTGGTGATTCCCTGCATAGTCCACATAGAAAGGGTTACAACCAATCTTCAGAATCTGCCCACCTACTGTCTCCCTTGCCCTTCGTGTTTTCATTTCTCTTTTCTAGCAACTACCCGACAGAGATCATCTACGTAGGTTGCGACCCGACCTACCTCTCGCCAGATGACTGTCCACATGGTCTTATCACTTATTTGTGGGACTCCTGGCCTAGCATTTATCGCTGCTCGTAGAATGCAAAGCACCCCGCGCCCCTGTTCGTCCCCGAAAGGCCCCATCTCTAGGAAGGCCCGATAGTATTCTCGATACATTAATGCTTCGTCAAAATTTAGCCTAGTTACGGCAGTCACCGCCTGCTCCACTCGTTTTATGCCTCTCATTCGTCTTAGCAGGAAGGGTGGTAGACTCATCCGTATGACCTCATTTGGCAGCTCGAAAACCCCCGCCGTGGCGACTTTTACCTCCGCCGTTACGTTATCTCGTTCCGGGTTTGCAAACTCAAACCCTCCCGCCAGGTTATTTGCCATGCCCCTTCGAACATCCGCACGGGGTCATCTCCGGAAGCCAAAGCAATCCCAAAAGTCCGCCATCCCTCTTCCGACAGGTGTAAGGATCCTGTCGCATGTACACATCCTGGGATGTTAAAGTCTACACCCCCGAACTCCCCTCTCGCACGCCATTCCAGCTCCACTACTAGGTACACCGTATCTTCCACAAACTCTGCCCCTACCCAATCCATTACCGGATTGCTTACCGCATTTCTTGCCGGCAGGCTTATTTCGACCCTGCCTTCTGATATTCTTGGTGGCAGGATCCCACGAGGTCTATCCTCCCAGAACGTCATTCGTCGGGCCATCTCGCAATGTCTCCTTTCCTGCTTTCTTAGTCCGATTGTTGCACCCACCGAGATTCCATACCTTTCGCGTTTTAGTCTTTCAACCCTCCCTACTTATCGTACACTGGTTCTTCCCGCTATCCCCAACTCATACACGTTCAATTTTACCCCCCCCCCATTTTCCAGTTGCTGCCACTTCCCCCTTGTTTTGATCCTTATGCGCCATCTACGGCCTAATGTACACACTCTCTTTCTTATGTTACACCTCAATTCACAAACACCCTCCATACTCAGGCCTTTTTGCGGTGTTCGATCCCTTGGTCTCATTCAGTCGAACCACAGTACCTTAAATAGTTTGAAGACATCGTCTACGTAGGAGGGCCCGGCCGCCGCCTCCCGGCTAACTATGGCGTCCCAAGACTCCGCCTCTACCTCTAGGCGGTCATACCTGCCTATTCTTAGGACGATGATGACTTCCTCGGCTTTATCTCCGTAGAAGGGCCCATATTTCAATGAGAGCCTATAGAACTCCTCAGTCACCCAGGCACACTTTATATGCACCTTTCTCATGGAGTCGGCTACTTCTAAAATGTGCTCAACCCCCCCAAACCACTCGGGTATGAATTCCGGTACCCAAGCCGTTATCCGTAGACTTGGAGGCTTAAGTTCCTTCCATCCTCCCATCGCAATTCCGCTACTAACTTCGTCTCATCCCTCATTGGCGAACAACTTGCCTTCCTTTCGGGTTCGGGCCTCTGCATCCCCTAGAAGCCACATCGGGTCCTGTCCCATTGCTAACATGGTGCAAAACAGGTGTCATCCATCCTCGGAAAGGACAATCGTTCCAACCGACTCTACCTTGCCTTCTGGTATATCATCCCAACCTTCCTCTTCCCTTATCGGTTTTCAAATCCGCTCTATCCATACATATGACAAGTGTCGAGCAACCTCAAACCCAATCCAGTCGCATGTGGTCCCTCTCCATCCGTTCCCTGTTGGTATAGGGATTTTTATTCCTCCTCTGAGTCGCCGTGGTTCCCAGCCTTTGAAGGTGTATTCCATCATCCTTTCTTCCCTAGTCATCTTTCCCTTTCCTGCACAATACCAGACCACCCGTCCTTCCTAAGTTAAGTTTCCCCACCCCTCTTTAGAAGTCTCAGTCCTCTATCTCTTCATCTTCGTCTTCA